GGAAATCCATTAACAGGTGTTGTCATCTTAGAAATAGTAGTACATAACTATCAGAGCACCACCTGTGTGCCGGGTATTAGTGTTTTGAGTACTACCTTATTTAATTCTTCCAATAAACCTATATGATGTACGTATTCCCATTATCTCCAGTTTACAGTGAAGAATTGTTACAGTGCAATTTGTTTTTATTGTTGTAGTCACTATCAGTTTATTATTTCTGTTAATTTCTGTATTCCAATAGAAATACCTTAGATAGTATACCCTGATTTCTCTGGCGAATTCTAAGTGTAACTTTTTGTGATTCAGTCTACTTAAACCACTACCATTTAGTGGTTTTTCTCTTAGCTTTTATTACAGTGTTTTTATTACAGTGTGTTTTTCTCTTAGCTTTTATTACAGTGTTTTTATTGCAGTGTGTTTTTATCTTGGTTATTTATTTCATTGTTTCTGGCCTGTCTTTTCTCACTGAAAAGTCAGCTCCTGGAGGGGGTAGGGACATCTGTGCTTTGCCCACTGCTATATTTCTAATGCATAAGTGCCTGGCATGTTGCAAATGCTCAATATCTATTGCTTGAGTGAATAAATACAGAATGAGTGAGTTGTATTAAAGCTATCTTTTTTTCCATATGATTCTTGTGATTCAATCAGTCAACCAGTACTTATAAGCACCAATTGTGTGCCTAATACCATGACCCATATATGGCACTTACTAAATGCTAGGCCCTTTTCTAAGCACTTTATGTGAAGCAGCTTTTAATCTCTACAATAACCATATACTGATCTGCAAAGATTCAGAAAATGTTAGGACATAGTTATTTTCCAAAAGGAGCTTTAAATATAGTTGAGAAGTAATATTAATGGAAGTGAAATAATCAGAAAACAATAGAAGTTTATAAAACAATCGTATAATTATTAAATTTAGAGTTACAATTAAATTTTGAGGAAAGAAATTTAGGTAGATATTTCGACTTTTAAAAGGAGTTGTTACTTCATCTTGATCTTAAGAGATGGGAGGAATTTGGATAGATGAAGGGAAGAAGGGAATGATGTTCCTGGATAGAACAACTGAATTAAGGATAATCTTTGGGGTCTGAGAACAATGGCATTTATGATTAGGCAGATAGGGACAGGCCAGACCATAGGTAGGCTTGAAACCTAGGTGGAAAAAAATGGACCAAAGGTGGCTGGAATCAGTGAATCACTATGTGCATGTGTGTGTATCCTTTATAAAGTGAGGAAGATAAGTCTTTCCTGTCTTATTATGTGGACTAAATGGGATAAAGAGTGTAAAGCACTTATCCCAGTTCCTGGCACATAAGAAGCAGTCACTAAATGATAGCTATTACTACTACTGCTAATGATAATAGCAGATAAAGTTTTGCCTTGAATTTTTAATCTGAATAAATTGATTCATTCTGGGTTCTTTATATCAGGTCTATATAATATAAAGTTTTGCCTTGAATTTTTAATCTGAATAAATTGATTCATTCTGGGTTCTTTATATCAGGTCTATCTAATTTGTCTTGATAAAGTTGAATACAGTTTAACCAGTAATAACACTGATTAAGACAAATACCTGAGATCCTGTATGGAAAAATGAGCAGATCCCTTTGCCTTGAATTTTTAATCTGAATAAATTGATTCATTCTGGGTTCTTTATATCAGGTCTATATAATTTGTCTTGATAAAGTTGAATACAGTTTAACCAGTAATAACACTGATTAAGACAAATACCTGAGATCCTGTATGGAAAAATGAGCAGATCCTACATGTGCTCCAGCAAAGAAAATGTGTTGTTTTAATGGCATTTCCATGGACAGAGCTTAAAAACAATCACATGAAAAAGTTTTCAAACTACTAGATATCTATATTTCATTAAAAATGTACTATTTGCAATTCTACAGAATTCAGTTATAGCTTTATGATTCCCCAGGGAGGATATTTCACTAAAAATCAATTGGCATAAAAACAGGCACTTCCCAGAGGGATAAACAGAGAAGACATAATAACCTCTGCAAGATCCTCTGTAAACTTCAAAGGTATGAGAATGTCTGTAAGGGTTTTATTTTGTTTGTTTGTTTGGTGATGATAAAGGAGGCAGAGTATAAACAAACTGTAACTCAAAAACATTTAGTACTTTAACATCAAAAAAAATCTAAAAATAATGTACTGATTTCTTTAGTACAATATATTTTACATTAACTATTCTCCAAACTGTTTACCAGAGTCAATAATGCAATTTGTAATTAAATATTGTTCTAGATGGAGGAAAATAGGCTATTTGTTTGTTTGTTTGGTGATGATAAAGGAGGCAGAGTATAAACAAACTGTAACTCAAAAACTTTTAGTACTTTAACATCAAAAAAAATCTAAAAATAATGTACTGATTTCTTTAGTACAATATATTTTACATTAACTATTCTACAAACTGTTTACCAGAGTCAATAATGCAATTTGTAATTAAATATTGTTCTAGATGGAGGAAAATAGGCTAAAGTTCTAAATAAGCTAATGTTGATGGGGAGGTCTGAGCAACGGGGCTTCTGTAGAGGGAAGGACTAAAAAGTTAAGCAGGAAAAAAAAAGTGGGAAGAGAAAGCAAGGGAAGAGGAGAAAAAAGTGATTCAAGTCTTTTGAAGATTTTAAAGACAGAAATTCATGTTTAAAAAAATTCGAAGCCATTTAAATTCATGCATGCAGTTTGCATTTTTACTCACGTTCACCAGTGTAGAAAATATTTTCTTTATGCAACACCAGGGCCTGCTCCATCTAATTAATTAACAGAAAGAAAGCTCAACTACAGACGTAAAAAGGCACTACCTTTGTTGCTGAATAGTTGGATTAATCTTTAATAATCTTAAATATTTTTAATTCTCTCTGCCCTTAAACCTTGGGATTAGCCAGACTTTGAGCCCTGTGCTCTCTCCTCTCATCTCCCTTCCCCTTTTTCCTTTGGCTGGGCCTGCAATTCCAAACATTCCTGCTGCCGTCCGCACCCGTTACACAACCATCCATCTTACGTGGGGCTTTGTGGACAGGGCTACTCTTAGCCTTTGATCTTTACAGCCTGCTGCCAAAACACCCATTCCCCTCCTGTGGTCCTTTGTGCAACTTGTAACATACACTGAATGTCTAGCAATAGGACTAACTTCAGGCAAAAATGCACTGCGTATTTTGAGTGCAGGTCAGTGTTTGCTGTTCTGGTTGGCAAAGTACACAATGGCTTAAGCAATCTTCCCTGGGCATTTTAGTTTAGGGTGTGGACATCATTCTATGACACAGGTGTCAACTCTTGTTTTATCTTGAGGACAATTAGCAAAAAACTGTTTGTGATCAATTTGCTTTGTTTTGTTTGGACAAACTATTTGCTCAAGTGGAGGAGCCAGGTCAAATTGGCTCTCTGCAAGCTCTTCAGCCCTGCCATAAAATGAAACTATATTTCCTACATCGTGGCATGCCTTGGCATCTACTCTCCTGAGCATGCTCCAACTATTCCCTTAATGGCATCTGGTGCACTCCACACAGCATAAGAACTGGGATCCAGGCATGGTTTCCATCTCACTGAAGTAGCCAGCAGTTGCTGAGAGCAGAGGATGTGGATCACAGCTATGCAATGACATGCTCTTGGAACCAAAAATAATTGTTGAACACCGAAGTATATGTAAAATCACTTTTTTCTCCTTTGGCTCAAGAATATTATTGTGAACCTTAGCAATAAATAAAGCAATGTTGCTGACAGTGTTCTGAACATTGGCCCTGAACCTGAACGTGCTTTTAAATTGAGCTAAGGGGGTTATACAGCAAGTGGATTCATTTAATTCTATTTGTTGCTATGTTCTCCATTCTGGCTTTGTTCCAGAGATTTCTGATAGTTCCAACAGCTTTGGAGTTAGTATCTCTGATGTGTTTGCATCTGACCTCTAACCTAAACTGCAGTGTTATTTTCAGCTGTTCTTTGACAGGGAACCCAACAGCTGCTGTTTAATACCACAGACAACTTGTGATACAGGCTTGAGTTTCTAGTAATAGGATTAATATGCTGATCTTGGGCTCGGATTTGATGCTGGCTATAATTTTCCTGCATAAGGAATGGGGGTGGGAAATAAAAACCAAGCCCGAAGTACAGTGTTATCCTTTTTTTAAAAATTGTGGCAAAATATACATAATGTTAACCTTTAATCAAAAAACATTTTCTTGCTGCAATTAAAAGATAACAGCAAAATGTTTTGCTTTCTAGTAGTTGTGATAAATGAATTTGAAAATGCTGTTCAATAGAGCAGAATAGTAACAAAGAAATCCTGAAATGGTAGGTATCTATTGAAAAATGCTGGGAAATATTTCTAAAACATCCCTCAGAAGTCTGAGGCTCTGAGAAAATGTGACCATTGCATATAAACTTCATTTGGCAAAGGGCAGTAAGTTTTAGAAAAGCAGATTCATCTAAAAATGTATGTCCAGCAATTTTGTGACTTAACCTCAAAACGAATACCAGAACTTTCTTTAAAAATACATTTTTTGGTAAATTTTCTTTGCATGAAGGAGACTTCTGAAATCTTGAAGAGACCGATGTCCAGGTCAATGACTTGCTGGTTTCAAAATCCATGGTTACAACTGTATAGTTTCAATGGCAAAGCTAATTTGGGTTGTCAGGATGTAAATTTTTTTTTTTCCATTTGCTATCAAATGTCAGCTGATAGGCAAAGAGCTCGAAGCTGTCCTCCACATTTAAGATAATGGCAAAAATAACAGACACTTAGTGTTACCATACTAGGGGTGTGGTGATTCTCTCCTGTTTGTTCCTCTCTCTCTCTCTCATGATAAACTCAATGGGGTTGTCTATTTTTAACCTCCTGTTCTTTCCTTTTGGCAGAGTAATCAGTGCGAGCTGAGCTCTTTCCCTGAATGAATCCAAGTAACCCCGGTGGTTGCCTTCTGAAATGACCGGCAGGCACGCATCTGTACAGAGGCTGCCCAGAGTATAAACTCTGGTTCTGAAGTACCATGACCAGCCAAGGAAGTCCTGGTGTGGAGTTTTCTACAACAACAGTCAGTTCAGTAGCTGTGCAGGCTGGGGATTCCAAAATCATTATAGCTGTCATAAAGGTAAGTTAACCACTTTCTTTTTCCTGTGTGGCTGTGGGCTTCTCACTGTGTGTAGATAACCCTAAAGAACAATCATCAGGACACATCAGCACACATAGAAGACAACACAGCAAGCACTCTTATTACTTTCTTAAATCGTCAACTAAGAGATACCTCTACGTAGTTTCAGCCAGTTACGAGTTTCCCTTTCCTTTCAGTTAGCCAGAAAGCATTTACGGCAGATTGATTAAAATAAACAAACAAAACAACTGTACCATGTACTTTCGACTTGAATTTGATCTTTAAAGACAAGCATTGGTGATTAGAGTTTCGTGACTGCAGGCTGTGAAGAGTCTAGTGGACCTGTGAAAGCTTGTGATTTTTGAGAGTGGATGTGCTGGAGGAGAGAGGAGGCAGGTCTCGGCAGTTAGGGGATGGCACTGTTTTATGATGGAACACAGGAAACACTTAGTAAGAGGCTCCAACGTGTGCCCTCTGCAGCACTGGCTTTGACATGGTAAAGACACTACTAAATCTTTGTCACATTGTTGGGGGAATGAAGATCCTGCCAGGTAAGGTGCAAAAGGCATGTGTCAAATTTGCTCTTAATGGTAGGAAGTAGAAACCACTTGGGGCTTAAGATTACTGCAGGTTTTATGTCAAGCAGTTTGCTCATTTACAAAGATGACCACACACCTTGAAGTTGAAGAAGACTTCAGTGATTTTATTCTCTATGGAAATGCCCTGCCAAAACCTCTGAAGCATTAGGCTTGGGATTTAGATAATTTAGCACTGAGGGAATTCAGTGTTTAAGGAAGGGACAACTGGCAAACAAGCTGGTGTTCATCAGCCAGTTTACTTTCAGTGCCCCACCAGGCTTAGTTGAATGGCTTTTCTGGCCTTTTGTTAGAGCATGGACAAGACCTGTTTAATTTAACTTAATTGCTGCAAATTTTATGGTAATGTAAAAATTCGTAACAGGAAAACAGCACTTGACATTGAACAAAACAATTCACTGAAGAAGCACAGAATGCAAAGTGTTTCTTCAGGGCTCATTTCCCAGGGCTGTTGAGACTTGTCCCCACATGAACAGGACCTCTGCTGACTCCCTGCCCTCTTCTCATGTTTTCAAAGGCAATGAGTACAGCTGAAAAGAAGCCTGAAGCAGAAGTAGCAAGAACTGATTATTTGCATGAGATTTACTGATGCTTTGAGTAACTGCCAATTTCAGCAATGAGGAGAAACAAGCAAACTCACTATTTTCAAAAAGTTAACTTCCTCAAACATGAAACATTCTTAGAGCAGGATGAGGAATAATATTTAGAAATTAAACTATGGAAGAATCACACTAGACTGAACATAAGGAAAAAAACCCTCTAAAATACGCTGGAAACTCTTATTTTAACTGAATTATGTTTCTAAGAATGTTCCCTCACTGTCCCCTCCCTGATTCACTACCTTTCTGCTGTCTCCATATAAAATACATCCTAAGCTATTCAAAGGGGAAAGTCCATCTTAATGGAACAAAAGTGCCTGTTTCTGCTCTTTAGCAACTCCCCGTTTTTAGACTGTCTCAAGGCACTAAGGATATTCTAGATAGAAACACATTTTTTTCACTTCTCTTTAGTAATTCACTTATTCACGTGCACGTGTTGTTAGTGGTTTTTTTCATTTAATCAGTTGTTGCTTCTTAGAAAAACAATTCCTCAGGAAATGCAGTGATGAATTAGGTCTTGCAGCAGTGAAAATCCTGAATGTGGAAAACAAGCCAATTGCATGCAAATGGCAGTTGCCACAGCCATCTAATTTTCTTGATATTTTCACATATACCTTCTTGAATACACAATAAAGGTTGAAAAATGTTATGTTTTATCTTTCAAATAATATAAGAATCAATGACTTTATCTAAAGCTTATTCTTTCTGCTTGAACCAGCAAGGCCGTGTAAAGACAGTAATCAGCCTAAATTGCGTTTACAAAACCTTTCCCCTAAGGTAAAGTTTGCTTTCTCCGTGCCCAAATGGAATTTTACTATTTTTATGGAGTTTCATTTTGTGAGTGAGAAAGGGTACAATTTTGTAAGTTATTCTGTAATTTTGTAATATTCAATAATACATAATCCGTTGAATGTGTCCCTCATTTGAGAATTTTTTATCCAAATGGAGAAAGGGTACAATTTTGTAAGTTATTCTGTAATTTTGTAATATTCAATAATACATAATCCATTGAATGTGTCCCTCATTTGAGAATTTTTTATCCAAATTCAATATGATAAGAGAGAACAGTTTATCCTAAGGGGAAAAAAAAAGAAAAGACAGGGCATGAATTTATATTAGACCTATTATGTTTCAATTTAAGTAAGGCTTATCTCTGTAGAAAGAATAAAGTATTCCCAATATAACAGGATATTTTAAAAATATATTAAAAAGGAGAGAGGAAAGAGGAAGGAGCAAAAGGAACTGAAAGTGCATATTATTTTATTTTTATTTTTAGTGTGGCAAATGGGTACAACTTCAACTGGCTGAATCACAGCCCAATCTTCTAGAAATTGGTAGCAGTCAAGATGAAGCCAAAAAACTTCTTCATGATCATGAACTTCTTTTGGCCAAGCTCAAGGTAAGATATTAAGATGTGAAGCAGATACAAAATTTAAAAGAAATAAAAAGCTATTTCTTACATTTCCTATGGATTGCTCTGATGTCACTTGCCTATGGCCATTTTAATATGCTGCCAGATGGATAATGGAAAAATGCTACAGTTATTTATGAGCAAACATCAGCATCAGAGAGAGGTAACAATAAGTTTTTAAACTTTCCCCTAATGTGATAGAAAATATGGAGTGATAATATTTTCACTGTGGAGAAATAAGTAATTGTTTTTTCCTGGTTGCCTCAGTGGGAAAAAAAAATTCCATCATTTTTCCATTTCATGCATTATGCTGTCAAGACACAACAACAGATCCAAACTTCCTATTGTTAATGATACCAGCTGGTAAGAATAACTTAGTCTTTCTTTTCCCCTGAACTA